GAGAGAGAGAGAGAAAGCGAGCTCCAAGGAGGATCATCGACAGTAGGAGGAAGGGCAGGCGGGAACGAAGCTGCGGGGTAGATACGCCCCTGAACATGCAGAAACGCAAAACGGCCAGGAAGCGGGACGCTTCTGGGAAAGGTACCTCGCCATCTGCGCCGCCCAAGAAATCGCCGATCCATCGCGATCCCGGGTCTCGTGTTTATCGATGATTACCACACACAGCTAAGTTCCCGAATCGTATCGAGGTGTGGCGCCGATGGATTCTTCGAATCGCGAATATCGTTTGATGCGGAGAAGGCCGCCTCGTCAGAGTCGAAGGGCGCGATAAGTGGAATTGAGAAAATGTCACAGGTGTACAGCCTAAATTCGTCTCGCGACGAAGTTTGTCCATCCCTTCGCGAACATAGGGCGTTTATTAAACCGTTATTACGAAGGGATGGAATGAACGCTCCTCGGAAAATAATTAAGCGATCCAATTAGTCTCCGTGCTCAGGGTACGATACGGATCGCTCGCGTCTTGAATTATCATCACGTTCCAAAACGGGGAATATTCTGAGGGCCGCGAGTCGATGGTCTGGAAGAAGACGAAAGGGGGGACATGGCGATTCGGAGCGGGTCTCCGATTCTCGGAGGAATCATGCGTGTTTGACCGAAGGGCTTGGGGAAGGGAGATGGCAGAGGAGCGAGGGAAAAGGCACGAGAGAGGGGAGGGGGGGGAGGACGGGCGGATGGTCAGGAGGCGGCAAAATGGAAAGGTTAAGTTACGAAACGCAACGGCAGCCTCCAAGGTCTCCCCTGTCCCTCGCCCCCCTCTTTCTCAAGTCCCACCGGCCGCGACGATCTGACCCTTTTTTCCCCTTTTCGGCTGAATGAATCGAACGTGTAACGCGAAGAGTGACTCCCGATACACGCAGCCCTACCGCAACGCGCAGCAACCGTGGATTTTATTACGATCGATCGCAAGCTGTGCGTCGCTGTCAAGAGTATCGCTGTTATCAGCGTGCGTTCCCGTCTTCCTGGCCCTCCCGGCCCGTCTTCATTTTCAGCCCTCCCGGATGCGTAGCACGATCTCGCCCGCACCCACGCTGATATCTTACGCACTGACGCGTGCGTAAGCGCGCCGAGAAAATGGAGGACAGAGATCCAGAATGCGAGAGATAATATCGTGCGACTCAAAATAGTTCAGGAAACGCGAAATGGATAATAAGGCGATAACGATTATCTACTTTGCGGTGGCGAATTTGAAATGAAGACAAATTAACGGGGACCACCCTCTGGATTCTGCTGCAGGATTCAATCATGTAGAAAATAGAGGTCCTGAGCCGGGCGAACGATCCACCCTGCGAAAGGTTAAAACCACCACATACGAAAAGAGGAGAGGATGATGCGTGTGCGTGTGCGAGAACGCTATGCGGCGCTGTGTATCTCGCCAGGCCTTGACACATTTCGTTCGGTGGCGCCAAATTGGTCGTCGCTCGAACGAGCACTCGCTTCGAATGGGAGAGAAAGAGGATAGAAAAGAAGAAAGAGGAGGGCGGCCAAAAGAGGGGAAGGAGGACAAAGGAACGGGCGAGTCGAAAGGATAACAGAATGCGATGCGATAAGAGCGAAGAGGACGGCGAAAGCAAAGGCAACCGACGATGTCGAGAGCTGGAGAGAGAAAGGCACGGTAAAAGAGAAAGAGACAGAGAGAAGAAGCCGAGGGCCAAAACGGAGAGGAGATAGGGCCAAAACGGAGAGGAGATAGGAGGGCGAGGCGGAGGAAAATCAATGTCAGGCAACGTGCGTTGCAACCCGAAATCAAGGGAGCCCACAGGCCTCCCGCGCTCTGTTCTCATCCCGGCTTGGCACTCGGTCGATTCTGCAAGGGATGACGGTACGAGCGCACACCCTCTCCCTTTTTTTTTAACCCCTCGGAGATCGGAGTGAACCATAACCCGCACAACGGTCCACTTCCCGGGCCTCCTGAATTGCGATGTCCTTATGATGCAGATACGATATTCCCTTCCTTT